ACTCTGAGACATGGATGGAAGGTGCGAGGCCAAACTTTAAAGATCAACTTCGCCCTCTAAGCCTCTAAGCAAACAGGAAATGAGTGGATCCAGCGATCCTTGGGAAGATAGAGCAGGTAGGTACCTCCTTCATTCGCATGTACTCTTTTTCTTCCCATTCGTACATTCCATAGATACATGTACACAGACACAGAGTACTTTGTTTGTACGGAATGCACCTTGTGCATTCATAGCGTGTACATGGATCTCATATCCCATATCCCATATCCTACGGAGTATATCCTATATCCTATAACCCATGTTAACTGGTAGTTATAGGAGTACTCCAGTTATAGGGATAAACACACCGACACGATCCCCAACCCACCCCAACTCCAACCGAGCTACAGCCCCTGTTCTTGTCCCTAGGTAGGAGGTAGGGTAGGGTTGTCTCTAAAACCCATCATCCTAACCCCATGCCATACGGTGCAAGGAACAGTACAGGGCCAGTATTGAATTGAGCCGTGGACGGTATGGTATGGTATACTGTGGACTCGCTGTATACTGACGGTAGACTGACTGTATACTAACTAACTGTATACAGAGCATACAAAATATATCCGCCCGGTATACACGGCAGTGCCCTATGTTATAGCTCACTCTTATTCTTCACTTCAACCGGAAGAAGTGCTCCTCCTTCGAATGCCGCCGCCGTCTCATACACTACTTAACACTATACCCATCAACACTTTGGTATGTACCGTGGTACTCCGTGGTACTACTCTACTACTCCCTGTACTATCTAGTACGGTACTGTACGTATAATACCGCTGCCGCATATCCCCAACCCCAACTATACAGAGTACTTACCCCAACCCCAAAATTCTAACCGTCGCTCGTTCGCTCGTTCGCCCGTTCGCTCGCTCCCTCTCCTGTTCCTGCCCTCCGTCCTCTCCTCTTCCCACTTCCGTTCTTCGTCTCTCCTCCTCCCTTCCCCCCTCCCCCCCTCCCTCCCTCATATCCCCCCCTCCCCACGCCCACTTTCTTCATATCTCTTCTCTCCAATTGGCCCCTCCCACTTGACACTGGCTCCAATACCTGGGACGGCCTGCAGAACAAGCTACCTAGCCCTGTTGAACCGCTCGCTCAAATGCATTGCTGATCAAGAGAAAGGCAAATCCCCCTCCTCCTCCTCCATCCTCTTCCCTCCTCCTCCCTCCTCCCACTCTCCACTAAACGAGTCGGGTTTATCAGTCCCGCATATACACACCTGTCTCCTTAGACCGCTCCACTCCCCTCCTTCATCCCCCCACACACCAGACAAGCAACCCGACTACTCCAGCGAGCTACTACTATCTATCTATGGTCCATTTCCACATCTCCTCTGCTTCAACGGAGATACCCTTCATATTTCGTCATTACACTCTCATATACAGCCCAATGCCCGCATACACCACCTGACTGACCGCCTGTCCTAACCCTCAACTCTTCCCTCGTTCCTTCCTCAAGAGAAACGATCATATATGTGAAGCAAGCATTCACCACGACCAAGCTACTGCCGAGCGACTTGACAACCCCCAACATCTCCCATTCTCCGAATTGATGCACCACATTTAGGCACTACCTTTAGCCAAACATGACGGTGCCGCTCCCATGTCCGCCAACAACCTCAGCAGCCGTCTGTGATGCTGCTCCCCGCAAGCGAAGGAGAAGAGCGCCCGCCAGCGGCGCCGCCGACGACTGTTTCGCCTGTCATAAACGCAACGCGAAGTGCGACCGCCGCCGACCGTACTGCTCGCCGTGTCTGGAGATTGGCAACGACTGCTCGGGCTACAAGACGCAGCTGACGTGGGGAGTCGGAGTTGCCAGCCGTGGCAAGCTCCGTGGCCTGTCTTTGCCCGTTGCCAAATCCGCGCCAGCTGTCAAGAGCCCGCCGACGAGAAGCTACACGCGGCCACGAGCGACGTCCTCCCTCAACCGGTTAGCGGTTGAAGGGCATGCTGGGGATGATGATATCGAAATCAAGATAGAGAGAGAGGTCCCGCGGCTGGCCTCGCCGTATACGAGCTACGACTTCGTACACATGAACCCCAAGTCCCCGAATCTGCTGCACTCCCCGGGTACCAACTCGGATTGGACCTCATCCCAGGAGCACCTTCACGTGAGGAGTGCCACCCCAGCCGAAAGCCAGGGACATCTCCTTCGGAACTCACTGCACCGTCTCCAGCCGCCCATGATCAGATACGGCGATGACTTGCTGTCTCCATCTAGTGCCTCGTTGAGCGCGTACGGTGACGCAGAATACTCCTCTATCACCCAATCATTTCACGTGGAGGATGTGCCCTATCTGAATAACCAAATGAGCATGTATGACAGCTACCCACAGAGTTCATCGATGGATCACGGCTCTCTGTATGGAACGTCCGGAGACCACCGAGGGCCGACTTCTTGCCCTGACATGTTTTATCCTCACTCGGACGTCAGCTCGAGCCTCAATTCCCACCCAGCACTGTTCGACATCTCTGAGAGTCGACGGTTGGCTACGTCGCCAGGCCTCTGCAACGTCTCCGACACAGACTATGACGAGGACGTACTTGGTGAGTTTCCCGTACTGGCACTAAAAGGTAGAGTGCTAACTTTGCAGGCATGTCTCATTCTCATAGCTCTGAGCAGTTCATGCCAGGCTCTCATATGAGCAAAAGCTCGTGGACATCAGTCCAGGACGATGACTATACGCGGCAGCACCAGGATCTCACCAATCGCATACCAGAGTCCCTCAACATTGGGCTCCTACCAGATGTATCCCCGCGGCTGAACTTTTACCTGAATTACTACGAGAAGATCATCTGCCCTGTAACCGTGGCAATCGATAGCCCGAGCAATCCGTATAGGCAGCACATTTTGAGCCTCGCCACAGAAAGCCAAAGCTTGCAGCATGCAATCTGCGCACTCGCCTCGTGCAATCTCCGGATGAGGAGGAAGCAGAGCCTTGGCCAGCACAGTTGGAACCAGCCATCCGAAGAGAGACAAGACTTCACAGGGTCATATAACATGCGGCGGCCATCAAATACATCAAGCGCCTCTGAAACGCCATTAGACGACGCATCTGTGCAGGAGGAGTACCATCACCGCAGTCTAGCTGTTTCTCTCCTCAATGCGCAGCTTTCGAGCCCCTCCCTAGCAAAACACGATGCGGTTCTCGCCACGCTCCTGATGCTCTGCCACTATCGCATGTGCGAGACTGGCATCGCACAGTTCAGGACCCAATTCGCCGGCGTAAAGAAGCTACTCGGTATGCGCTCCTCAGGTGTTCAGACGGGCAACTGGGGTTGGATGGAGAGCATCTTTACGTTCTTCGACGCTATTACCGCGACCGTTAATGATCGTGAGGCTCAGCTCCACGGGGGATATCTGGATATGATCGCCTCACCCTGGACGTCTTCATGCGCACTCGAGAATCTCGCGGGGTGTGACGGAAAGCTCTTCGCCACCATCGCCAGCCTCGGCCGACTCAACCTCCTCGCGCAGAACCGTCCAGTTCTCGACCCCCTCCAAAGCACTCATACCCCACCGACCCTGAACCCACCCCCGCAGACCTCCGCTCCAATCCTTTCGGAATTTTACAAGCAGTACGCCCAGCAATTCCCCTCGTCCACAAGTACCTCGTACATCGAACCTCCACCCACCCCACCTCCCTCCTCCGACCCACGCATCCAGTTCTGGACGGAATGGCGCACGACACGCCACGCGCTGCAGACGTGGACTTTCTCCCCCTCCACCCTGCTCGCGTCGCTGCACCCGCTAGTCCCCTCTCCGAATCAGATCCGCGACTTTGGATACGTCTCGGAGGCCTTCCGCCACGCGGCCCTACTATATACCGAGCGCCTTGCCGCGCCGCACCTGCCTACTGGGCACATTACTATGCAGCAGCATGTGAGCCAGGTGCTTTTCTACGTCACGAGTCTTGGGGAAGGAGCAGGGGAGGGATGCGATGCAATGGGGAAGTTCTTGTTGTGGCCGCTGTTTATCGCGGGAAGTGAGGCGGTTGGGGAAGTGGAGCGCAATGTGGTGCGTGAGCGATGCAGAGGCATTGCGAGGCGAGGTGGATATGGGAATAACCACGCTGGGCTAGAAGTGCTCGAGCGCATTTGGGGTGAGAGTGAGGGACTGACGAGACACGAGGTGTTTGCGTGGGAGAAGTGGATGAGGGAGGTTGACGGAGAGTTCATCGTGGTCTAAACCGCAGCCATCGAAGCTTGCGGGATTCATAGGGTGCACGTTTGTGACGGCCTACATACAAAAAGGGTAGACGAACATGGGAAAGCACTCGGCCCCAAACAATACATATTGATTTCCGGCTGGGACTGGGAATCGGGCGTTTTATTTTTTGGAGAAATGATAGGGGCATGGATAGGGACAGCGGGACTGTGGGGGTTTTGCGGGGGATTATATGTATGTATGAGCGCACATTTTAATATACGGACAAACGGCACGGGTTATGAATGATAATACCTATATGGATTCTACTTCCTGGCCTGCATATGTGTGGACTAAGTGATTGTGATTCTGAGGTTGTCCTCGTATTACTTGACTCTTGCATTACAAGACCATTGTATTATCATGGGACAAACGAAGCACGTGAGGTCTTTCTCAATCGAGACTTACCAATACCAGGTAGAGCACAATCTTAGTCACCTCACCCCTGCCCGTTGCCAAATCGGTGTTCTGCTAGAATATTATACTAATCCCGGAGTACTATACAAGCAAGTGTATACCGATATGGTCATGATCACACTATCCCGCGTGGCCCAGGCTGGTTGTTGGCTGTCGTGCCACAGTAGCCAATCTATGGTGGGTGTGTGGTGAGCGGATGGGGCGTTGCTAGAGGTGAGGAGATGTTGTATGTGGGGTGTATGGGTGCTGGTTGATGATGACGCTTGATGGATCGCCGTGCGGACGAAAGATGTGAGCACAAACTATAACCGACAAACTTGATCTCATATCCGGATTCATCAATGTCTCTGTATTATTCTGCATTTACGATTTAGAGAACGTAAAGTAATCTAGCACTGTGCTAAGCCTCTTTCTTATATCCACAATACGACGGCATTGAAATCCGCCCCAATGAGTTATGCCCTTCACCAGAACTAAATGCACCACAAACACCACCATAAGTCTCAGACACTTCCTCACAAGCTATTCTCGACATCTATGACCTCCTTGACACCTGCAGCCAGCGCCGAAACACCCTCCTTGCTTACCCTACCAAGCGGCCGCCTTGGGTAACCTCCATAACCAAAGTATGTCTCCAGAGCTGCCTTTGTTCCTGGCACAGCTCCCCTCGTCAACACCCAATCGCCCTTGCTAAGAACCTTCTGCAACGCGATTGCCTCATCGAACTTCCCCTGCTCCCAGAGCTCCCAGATCTTCACACAAACCTTTGGCAGCACGTTTGCGCCACCCGCAATCACACCGCTGCCACCAGAGACGAGCGTCTGGACTGTGAAGTCGCACATGCCACCGAATGCCATGTATCCGGTTGGTTTGGCAGGTGTTGCTGCGTCTGTGGCAAGAGCCACGCGAGTCAGTTTTCCTGTGTTGGCGCAGGTGAACTTTGTGCCGATGATGTTTGGGTGCTGGGCTAGCTCGATGAGCACGTCTGAGTCGAGGTCAATACCGGAGACAGCGCCAGGGTAGTTGTAGATGATGATGGGCAGAGGCGACTCGTCTGCAACGCTAATGAAGTAGGCCTTAATTGCGGCCGTGTCCATGGCAGCACGGAAGTAGGAGGGCGGGAGGATGAGGGTGTATTCGGCACCTGCGGCCGCGGCTTCCTTGGTCAGGGTGATAGTCTCCCTGACGGAACCGGCAGAGCAGCCAGCAAGTATGGGTATTTGGTCAAAGCCGGCGGAGTCGAGTGCTTTGCGGTGGGTTTGTGTTACCAGCGTCTTTTCGGCGCCGGTGAGGTGGACAGCTTCGCCGTTGGATCCCATGGTCACGAGTCCCTTGAGACCCGCACGTGCGAGGCGGACAGTGTGGCGCTCGATAGTAGCCAGATCGAGCTCCTCGGTGTCAGCGTGGAAGAAGGTCAGCGTTGGTGCGTATATGCCGGGGAGAAGAGGGCGTCGCGATGTGGGCGCCGCGGAGCCATTGCCTGATCCATTTGCGGCACCCCCATTCGCAGCGTTCGGGGTGGAGGACGACATCTTGTATTGCTACCTGGGAATGTGTTGTAGTAGTAAATGGTATTCAATAGCTCAAAGATGGAAAAGATGAGGTCTACTATGTAGAGAAGTATGGGAAAAGGACAAACACGAAACGTGGAAGGGTAAACCGGGTATAACAGAAATATATACGAATCAATTACCCCGGAAGAATTCATGGCGGAGAAACATACAGCGAGGTGGTGCCGCAGGCAGAATCGGAGCGTTAGTGGGACGTTACCGTGGGCCTTAGACCATGAGACTTCGTCTCGAAAGAGGTGTCCGTCGAGAGCTTCCATGCCGCTTCTCGCCGCATACCCCGGCGGGTGACGAGGTGTTTCGCAGCCTTCCCTATGGAGGCAATTGTTTAGGCGCCACTTGACCAAGCTAAAAGCAACTCAATGGCAGATCTCTTCACACAGAATGGAAGAATACATTGCTGTAGAGCGCACAGCATACCCGTCATCATGTATTCGGGCCCAATCCGATCACCTGCCCGCTACTCCTACCTTTGTTGATCCAAGGCATGTCCACCGGGGCTTCGGGCTATATCTGGCCCGTTGGTCCTCTGACAAGAGTTTCTTTTGAAATCGCAGGCCCAGTTTGTGACTAAACCTTGCCCCCAAATGTAGTAATGGATCCCATCAGATCCCCGGGCAGAAGGACAGTATTGGTGGGGTGCTGGAAGCCCCACGTCCATCATCGCGACTGTATGTTACAGTGCAGATGTTCAATTGCCTCTGGAAATCTGGAGTACCTTAGCGGGACGCGAAGGGCCAGCCACCAGTCATGGACGTGGATGGGCGGCAAAGAGTGGGATGAGGGGTTATCAGCGGGCACGAGGGGCAGAGTGCGAGGAGAAGGAGGGGAGAAGGAGGGGAGAAGGAGCAAGAGGGGCAGTGAGGCGGGGCAGTGCCGAGTTTGTTGATGATGATATTTCGAAGAGCGGGCATGGTCGTTTTGAAAAAGGTTGACTGCGCGCCTGGCAGTGGGTGCCGGAGCCTCGAAAGTCATTGGCCAGAGCAGGATTTTGGCGTTGACCGAACGGAAACAAAATATTCCACCAATGTTATGGGCAGCTAGGGCGTGGGGGTACCAAGTTAGCACGGCAATCGAAAGTCGGCTCTCGCCCGAATTATCCAGCGAAATACATCCCAATCACTCTTTGCCTACATACATCAGGCGCTGTATCCTCTATATTAGCCTATGTAACGACCAGATACGGGCCCGAGGGGGATCACCCAACGCAAATCGCGCACTTGTCGGCATATGTTTGGTATGTTCGCTGTTTCCAATACCCGCCGACTGAGTATCTGAAAAGGCCGAAGCCGTTTCGGCGAGGAATGGGGGTTCTAGGAGAAAAATATATAGATCAATAGATCATCCTCCAATAGCTGGTAGCTAAAGAAATGTACTTAAGTCTTGGACGAGCTGCTTTATAATAAAGGGAGTGGAACAGACGAATTTAGAAAAAGGCGTCGTCAATGAATTTCCGATTGATCGAGGAAAGATACCTTGGTGAACTTTCCCTACCCCGGAAAAATAAAATGGAAGATTAATTAGCCGCATCGGCGTTTGCCCCGCGTTCCGCGTTCCGGTTCCGCGCGTCGGTCCTCCGTGTGCCCCTCACCACCAGCCCCAAACGTGCTTTCGCAGCAGCTTGGTTTCCAAAGGAGAATCTTTTTCCTTCCTGTATATAAAGAAAAGAATCTTATTATTTACTGCGAGCTCAATACCCGTTTTCTGTATCTCAATCTGATCTTAAGTGTTTGAGTGTTGGTCGTTTGCGAGACTATTCGCCCTTCTCACACCATATACCCTTCTTCACTTCATACTGCAAATATGTCTGATCTTCCGGTCAGGACCGAGAAGGCTGGGCCACTCAATGTGCTCATGGTGAGTTATTTCTCTGTTATACGCATATTTGCTGCTGCTGACTGACTCAATCAGGTCGGAACTGGAGAGTATACCACTGGCTTCGTCGATGGCAAGGCTTCCGGCTCCGACAAGAAGGTCGGCGTTGTTGGCTTGACACTGTTCGACCTGCGCCGACGTGGCAAGGTTGGCAAATTGAGCATGGTCGGCGTCTCTGGAAACAAATTCCCTGCAATTAGTAAGACACCCTCGACATACCCGAAACATACTTCGTGCTGACAGCTTCAAGGGGAGCATTTGAAGAAGAACATCACCGATGCCTACAATGGGCTCGACACATCTTTTGAGTCGTTCCCGGCGAACGACGCTCGCGACCCAGATGCTTACAAGACTGCCATTGACGCCCTCTCCCCCGGCGATGCCATCACAATCTTCACCCCCGATACCACTCACTACCCCATTGCCCTCTACGCCATCGAGCGCAAAATCCACGTGCTCCTCACCAAGCCCGCGACCAAGACCCTCGCACACCACCAGGAACTCGTCGAAGCCGCCAAGAAGGCCGGTGTCTTTGTCTTCATCGAGCACCACAAGCGCTTCGACGCAGCCTACGCTGACGCCAAATTCAAGGCCCAGAAACTGGGCGACTTCGACTACTTTTACTCGTACATGTCGCAGCCAAAGTCTCAGCTCGAGACGTTCAAGGCATGGGCCGGCGTGGACTCGGATATCTCATACTACCTCAACTCTCACCACGTCGACATCTGCGACAGCATGGTGCAGCAGCTAGGATACATCCCAACCAAGGTCACCGCGACCGCCTCCAAGGGTGCAGCCACGGACTTGGGCTGTGACCCCGTAACTGAGGATACCATCACCCTCCTCGTTACATGGGTGAAGAAGGACGACCCGGCACGCGTCGCCACCGGCGTCTATACCGCGTCATGGACTGCACCTCTGAAGGCCGGCGTCCACAGCAACCAGTACTTCCACTACATGGCTTCGGGCGGAGAGATTAGAATCAACCAGGCTAAGCGTGGCTACGACGTCGCGGACGACACTGCGGGACAGCTTGTCTGGTACAACCCATTCTACATGCGCTACGCACCAGACGAGGAGGGCAACTTTGCAGGACAAACTGGTTACGGGTACATCAGTTTCGAGAAGTTTGTGGATGGTATCCAGGCGCTTAAGGAGGGCAGGGCCACTCTGGATGATTTGGATAACAGGGGTCTTCCTACTCTTAAGAACACCATTGCGACGACGGCAATCTTGGAGGCTGGCAGGAGGAGTATCGACGAGGGACGCGAGATTAAGATTGAGCAGGCCGATGGGATCTGGCGCCTAGTCTAAATAGATGTAGGGTGTTAGCCGCGCGGTTTATAGTTTAGAAGTATACGCTAGCGGGATCGAAGAAATGAAATTAGTACAATTACTCTATTAAATCTCTAATGATTATGATTCCGTTGCATGTATTATCCCCATCCCGTCCGTCGCGCCTACTATTCCCATCTAGTCGCGCGTGAATACTATTCCCATTACGTACTATTCCTAACTTAATACACTTGCCTAAAATTCCCATCTCATTACACACGCCTATACGCCTACTTATCCTATCCTATTATCTACTATTCCTACTATATTATATAATTATATATACCTACTCTTCCTAATAGCCTATATACTAGTATTAGAGACCTTTAGTATTAGAGAATTCTAATAGTAGTTTTAGACATAGGGTTAAACTTTAAAGATATAGATTAAAAAAACAGCTAATATTATAAATAGGCCTCTTTTTTTTCTTATTACTTACTACTTATAATATATTATATAAGTAAAAACTCTAACTACCTCTATTTATCCTAAGGTAAGCTAAATTTGTCCCCTAGTCAAAGTAATTACGTAGGCAGTGACAAATCATGGAATGCGAATTTAGAAGGCTGGGATAGGTAACATCCCCGACACCCAGGTATATATCACAATAATTGATTGGAATCACTGTGGTCGAGAGAGGGGCTTGAGTGACAATCTTTAGACTAAAGGCTTCGCATTGTATATAATTGGGAAATGAACCTATCTGGTACTAGAGTCTTCGAGCTGATATTTGCGAGTTTGTTTGATGGTAGCATCACTTTGCGTTGGAGGTTGGGATAACAAGGGCGGTGAGCGAAGCAGATCCGCCTCCCCAAAGAGATCCCTTCAATTAAACATCTATCCTACATTGGCATCTAGCACCCTTGTGAAGTATCATCCCACTAAACAGTTTCAGTCGCAAGGTCAAATACCCCTCATGGTTGCCATGGCTTTCGAGAGCGAGCAAAGTCGTTCATACTCCTCCCCACAACACCAGAACCTACCAATATTACTAGATCTGCTACCAGCCTTGCTCAGCCTCACCTCCGATAAATTCTCTTTTGCTCACCGAGGCTCATGCAGGTACCAGGACGTACAATAGTATGCACATTATGATTCCGTAAGCCGCTTTGTACTTTGGGTTTTACGGAATATTCCAGAAGAACGCAAGTAATTTAGAGTGGCTTATATGTGGTTCACTTGGGCAAGGAGGTTTGTATATGTTGCGACCGAAGCGCCGTGTATCTTTGCGCCTGAGTCGGGGGTGTTCTCGGGACCTAGTTACGACTAGTAATGCCACTAGGCCGATAAGGACGACGGGCCGGGCCCGAGTCACGTCGGGGTTGGAACGATAGGAAATCCTAACTAGGGACGCCCCCTTTTTCTTTTTTTTTTGGAAGGGGGGGAAACAATTTCAAGTGGATGGGACGGGACGGCTCGAGGGCTCGCACTGGACTATATGACGGGCACGTAGAGTCTGTGGAGAAGATGTTGTCAACGCTTGTATTTCATTGAATGGAGGAAGGGGGCAGGATGGTGTAAACCGCCAATTCTGCCTCTACTCGCTTCTCTCCGCTCTGCGATTACCCGCGGTACCTTGGTAGACAGGATGAGCAGGAATAATACTGTGTTTGATTATTACATATCCCATATCGGCTGGCGTGGGAAGCAAATAGAGGCGAGGAGAAGATTGATATCGTAAATGAGCTCTAGATAAGCGTCGCGGCGGGGTGGTGGGTCTAGAACTTGGCAGGCAGGGCGGTGGTGAGGAAGGTCGTGGTGGTGGGGGGCGGATATGCGGTGAGAAAAGAAAGTCGTGGTGGTGGGGGCGGATATGGGGTGCCTGGCTTACCCTGTTCACCCTCGAGGTCACTCGAGCCGCTATGTATCGAAAACAGGCGCGTGATAACATACTCTACTACAGTAGATCCCGTGTTTTAATAGCTGCGTATGCACTCTTTGCATCGTTTATCATATTATTGGCCAACGCCCTGGATAGGCCTCTTGGCCCCCGATCCTTCAGGACTGGTACTAAGACATGTTGGGTTATATTATGTGTTCCTAGGTTTCCCCGACGGCGGCGGGAGCAAGCCGAGCTCAGCAAGAGATCTTATTTACACATACCCAGGATAATTATATGCACCAGGGCTCAGGAACGTTGGCCAATAATATTATCTCATATCCCGGATAGTGTATAAGGTTTCTCTGTATAAGCTTGATTTCTCTTGTTTATGCTACCGCAGCACTCGAGCGCTTGCGTGATATGCTCTGCAGATCACGACAACTCATCTTAAGCTTACTCCTTGGCATGATTGTAGCAACTGCGGGGTGTTAATGCTCGTAGATGCCCACTTTTAGCGCCCAATTTACGTGAAAAGGGCGTAAATAAGATGATCCTACTGGTAGAGGTTATGCTCTATCAAAAGGGGAGATGGTTATTATCATAGTGGCGGAAGGCTAGTGCTGAGTGAGATTCCAGACATGAGTTTTATTACAGTAGGATCGTGGCTGTAGCCCCCCACAAACCGACCTGTCCGAAATGCGTTGCTGCTTTAAAGCTTTTGCCCTGGATTTATGTGATGCAGACATCTAAATTTAGCAATAAAGTCTCATAAACATAATATATCAGGATGACTGGATGTGCCAAGTTCAACCCTCAACCCTCGTCAAATAATGCCTGGATAGCTTTTGTCCCCTTAATTTTTATCATATGTATTTGCGGCCGCGGCGGTATGTTTGCGGTTAAACGACCGAAACAAAAGCAGCGAGTGAGCCTATCTCTAATACTCGACGCCAATTTTATGCATTCTATATATATTCATCTAGAAAATTGTAGATCTTTTGGCATATTGAGAAAGTAAGCCAGAAGGATCGGGCTTCGGAGTTTGAATAAATATACCAAGGCCTATGAACGGTGAGTGTGGCTTGAGTATAGGGTATAAGATGTATCGGTCGCCTTCTCTGGGGTTTGATGCTCTTGTTTCCATAGACTCGATATTAGTTTATCTATCACAATCATCACATCTGCTATGCTCCTATCAACAGGATGGCTGGCGTCAGCCAGCTCGGTGATGTTAGTAGCACTCGCCTGCGTCCAGTCTACCAGTGCCCGCCCACAAAATGGAACTGAATATCCCACCAACTTTGACAGCCATGATTTAGACCGTCGGGCCGGCAGTTTTTACCTACGTATCTTGCCACTCGGGGCTTCTATCACTTTTGGTGTCGATGCTACCAACCCAAACACTGGTAACGGGTATCGCAAGTTCCTGCGTGATCAGCTCCGATATGATGGCTGGCAGGTCAATATGGTCGGTACTTTAAGTAGTGGTACAATGCGAGATAGGGTTTGTCATCCCAGCTTCCCTCGGGCTATTTTATTGCCTTGACTAACTTTTGTCTACAGGATAACGAAGGGTGGAGTGGATTCATCGTCGACCAGGTAAAAGTGCGAGCTGAGAATGTCGTGCCATTGCTGCTTCCCAACTTGGTTCTGATCAATGCTGGAACCAATGACGCTACTCAAAACATCAACATCCCAGATATCGGTGAGAGGATGAGAGGCCTGATTACCTATATTTTTACCCAAGTTCCAACTACGGTTGTGGTCCTGTCAACTCTCATTCCGAACAAGGATCAGGCCGCCCAGGGAAACGTGGATAAAATCAACGTGATCTACCGTGGCCTGGTGAAGGAGCTTCAAGCTGCCGGATACCATATTGTTCTTGCTGAGATGTCTGAGGGCTGGGTGACGGAGAGCGATCTTTCGGATAGCACCCATCCAAATGAAGGAGGCTACAAGAAGATGGCAGCGTCCTGGCGGAACGCTATTGGCGTCGTCGAGAAGAACGGATGGCTGCAAGCTCCCAGCAGCTCCGTAGCATTCGACGACTCTGTCGGCGGCACCAATACCTGCGAAAAGGCCTATGGCAGCGGCAATCAGGACCCCCGCGGGAGGACCCAGGTGCTCAAAGCTCTATCGCCGCGCATCATCGACGACGGGAAGTACACGCATAGCTCGCAGTCAATGGGAAAGATCCACCAGGGTTTCTACGTGGAGCCGGACACTGTCTGGTTTGCGCAGCTTGTCAATGCTTATGGAGCTGATCGAGGCGGGGAGCGTGACGATTGGGTCTTCAGCCAGCCGGATGGGATCCACATGCGTTTGAACCTGGGTGGAGGCACGTTTGGGGATAAGATCCTGATTGATACCAAGTCCACATGTCCGCAGGAAGGTAAGCACTCCACGGATGAAGTGGTAATTGGAGCTTTGGTTAATAATACTAACTGTCGACTGTAGGTGTGAGATGGGGCGACGTCGTACGTACATGGTTCCGATTCCAAAAATTTCTCGGATTTGATGGCTATTTATGCCAAGGCATTTGAGGCCTTATCGTTTTTATAGTATGATTGCTCACAGATATGTTTCTAGAACAATGACGGACTCGACGATTTCATCTGCATCGGGCCCGAAGGAAATATGTAAGTGCCTCCTCATTTCTTCTAATGGCCTCAATCACAATGCGCACGCAACACTCCACTCCTGAACAGTATTAGATACTTCTAAGCGATATGTACTAACCAGCAACAGGTATGTGTCTCTTAACCGGGGTGGCAATCCGCCGCAATTTGATTCTGTCGGCCTCGTAAGTTCCATGGACCTAATTTAGAATCTCTGTGAATGTACTGATGCTTTGCAAAGTACAAAACCGCCCCTTCTGGATACGCACTAACGAACGTTCGCCTTGGAGGTAAGTCAACCTTAATCACCAGTGTCCTGCTCACCAACTAACATGTCACCGTATTACAGATATCGACGGCGATGGGCGCCTTGATTATTGCGTTATTGCCGGCAACGGAGACATTTACTGCTGGCGAAACGGTGGTCAAGGAGACATGGCAGCATACTGGCAAGATTTCGGTGAAGGTAAACCTGTCTTCACAGGCAAGGGAATGGGTAATATTGATGGAGTCCGCCTTGGTGAGTACGCGATTCCATTTTTTTTTGCCTTGCCAGGGGGCCGCGTCTATCTCTCCGTTCCCGAGCTTCCAGGCTGTAAGCTTTTTATCCCAGTTTTGCTAACAAGTAGGGCGTACTCGTCCATATAGTTGACATCAATGGAGAGTAAGTGACGACCCGCTGTGCACGCGACCCTTCCATACTAACTTTTGCTGTAGCTTTCGTTCAGATTGGCTGTTTCTCGACGATAACGGGAAAGTCACAACATATATAAACCAACGAAACGGCGATAAGGGCTTGATCCCGTACTGGGACTCAGTTGGTGTTACACACGCTGGTATGGGTGAACCGTCTCGCTCACAAATAAGATTCGCGAGAATTTACGGCAGCGGCAGACCAGACGTGTGTTTCCCATCTCTTTACCCCTAATCCACATGCTCCTGCTAATCGTCGGCCGCCACGACAGTATGTCTACATCAAGTGCATCACCTACGCGGACAAAAGGTGCGATTACGAGGTGAGAGCATGGCAAAACACAGGAAGCGGTGGGAAATATCAAAAAGGTAAGATATCTAACGGCTTAGCTTGTCTGGGATTGTTACACTACTAATATATCATCATAAGGTGATGGTGCACACTGGTGCGACATGAAAGGCGGTGGGAACGACGATTACGTTTTTATCGATCATTTGGGCAGGATAACCATATTTAAAAATTCTAACTCCCCTCCGAATACAGACTATTCAGGCTGGAACGATGAGGGCATTGTGCTCGAGACAGGACTTGATCGAAAAGCTCTACATCTCGCCGACTGGAACGGAGATGGTAAATGTGATGTTATCGCTGTGACCAAGGCCACCGGAGCCATCGACGTATGGTACACATCCTACAATTGGCAGACAGACACCTTCAGCTTCAGCGCCAAGACTAACGTAGTCGCGTCTGGCTGCACTCAGGGTTGGGGGGTCGGCCCTTTTGACCTCGGCATGAGGTTCCCGGATATCGAGTAAGTTCCAATCATGACTCGGTTGCAATCAATGGCTATACTAACTGCCGTAAAAGTGGTGATGGCAGGGCTGATTATATGTGCCTAGAAAAAGATGGCAGAACGACTGGATGGTTGAATAAGGCCACCGGCCTTCAATGGATGGATCAGATCAAGTTTAGTGTCGGCAAGGATCGTGCCAACCATCGCTGGGCTGATGTTAACGGTAAGCCCAGCAATGACAAGCCTTTTCGTATGCTTACTTCCTTGAAATAATAGGTGACGGAAAGGATGACTTCCTCTGGATCGACAAGTTCAACGGCGACACCAGCGTCTGGTACAACATGGGCGCGAAGCAGATTTCAGGCAGCTCGTTCTGGTGGGATCCACGAGGCACAGCATACCAGGGCTCTTCGTCCGGCGCGAACCTTCACTTTCCTAATCTCGGCGGTGTAGGGCGGGCGGACATGACAGAGGTCAACCCCAAGACCGCCCTTGGCTATACCTGGTTCAACAGTTGTCCACCAGGAGGCGATGATGGTGCTATCGTTAACCCGGGTCTGCCGCTGGCCCAGGCACCGGGAGGAAGTGGGGAGGTGGCGACGACAACAACAGTGGCGCCAGCGACGCCGACGCCAACGCCAACAGAGCCGACACGGCCATACACAAGTGAGGTCCAGTGCGTCGACGACGGGGTAACCAATCGGTGGCCAGGATATTTGGTTTGCCATGACTCAGGTGGCTGGCAAATGAGCTGTGATGAGTGTCTTGGCCGAAACGGTTACGAAGCAGCGACGACAGTGAACGGATATCTATGTCATATGTTTGTCGAGAACGGGGAAATGACACTCACAGCTTGTCCGGGCGACCCCGCACCTGACACCCTTCCTGATGGCTCACCAGGCCCTATCGAGGACGGAATCGTCGAGGCTTTTTGTCAATCTGTTGGGAAGATGCCGGGGGGGGTTCCTGTTGAGCTTGCTACTTGGGGCGCATGTTTTATGTACGCTTATTTGAAAGCTAATAATGCATTAGAACAAAATACAGCAGGACTTATTTGTATGTTCACTCTTTGGAAAGGGTAGAGATTGCGAGCTAACCAACGGGTCTATAGCTGTATGCGACGTTTTATTTGTCGGTCTTTGTACCTATATAGGTAGTGACATCGGTGATATTGGTGGTGGTGGTAGCGGTTAATGAGTGTCTGTAGCAGCGGTATGCAGGCGGGCGAGGAGGCGGAAACTTAGAATACTAAATGAGAATACCAGGGCGTTGAATACCATATTGTCTGTCTGTGCCTGCTGATTTATTAGTATGATGGGGGGGTTAGTTGTGTGTGTAGACTACGGACTGTAAGAGGTTTAAGGATGACGTGTGAGGTAACATACAATATGGCGAGACAGCTGTCCGTTAGGGTTCCACACATATAGACGCCCTTCTCTAGGAAGGGTCAAGCTGAGTGTGTTTTGGTTAGTTCTAGCAAATGTGACGGTATGACTCAGGTTTCAGTCTCCGGCGCTTAGCCAGGCAACAGCGTTTAACCTTTGCGCTCGTCGAGAAATCAGTGGAGCCTAGTGTTACGGCTGGGGTTTCGGCGGCACTATCGCCGACACCCCGAGTATAGTAGTAATGTGTAGGTTAGCGATTTGACCGCCCTTATGGCAGGGTTAATAGTCAGGCACCGGACAGCCTTCCGGCACCTGTGTTTACAGGTACCGGAAGACGGTCAGGCACCTGATTAGTAGGAGGTACCGGAGTTACAGGTACCGGAAACATTACAGGTACCGGAATACTAGAGGGGACACTCCTAGGAAGACACGTGACGGATATTTAGTTAGTTAGGATATTCGGAATATCTAACTATCCTAACTATCCCTCTAGCACGACGCCACTATATAAGTAGATAGTTATTTCTTAGATAGGAGCTTCGTGCTCAACTCAATATAGTATTTTGTTATATACTATAACGTGTTTTACGAAAGCCTTTGTGTCTGATCCCCTGCCTCCTCTATTAAGTAAACCAACGTAACGAAACCTCTGTGAGTCTTATAGTTAAGACCTAGCGTTACACTTTAAGCACCACTTCTACGAGGTACCGGCTCATACACAAAGCAACATAGCTAGAAACGATTTAGCATCTAACGTGGGGTCGAAGGGCAAGGCAGCTGTCGAGCCTGTCCTATCACCTACTACTACGCCTGCGCCTAGGGGACTACATCCCTTAGACAAACTTAAGATTGCATTCCTAGACACCTTCAACGGGGACCGCAAGAAGCTTAAGAGCTTCCTCATCTAGACGGAACTCTAGATGGCCTTCAACGCTAAGCACTTCGCCTTTAAAGTACAGCAAGTCCTATAGGCAGTGGCCCTCCTAAGGGGCTCCGCCTCCGACTAGATTGCTAATTACCTAACAGACTACATGAGCCACCGAGCGGCTAACGGAAGAGTCACTACGACGGCTAACTAAGGCACTAAGGATATCTTCATCACTTAGGCTGGCTTCGTTAAGCAACTTAAGGCGAACTTCGGGGACGTTAACGAAAGAAGAAACGCAGTGCGAGCCCTCGAGGCCCTTAAGCAGAGGGGGTCGGCGGTTACATATACTGCTAAGTTCCAGCAGCATGCCCCCCTTACTAGTTGGGGAGATGAGGCTATATGCGACCGATACTACAAGGGGCTAAAGGATCATGTAAAGGACGAAATCTCCTAGTTAGACAAACTAGATGACCTCAAAGAATTAATTGAGATGGCCTAGAAGATCAACAATCGTTACTATGAACGCTAACTTAAAAGGAAGGGAGGAACAACTAGCCACCAATGGACCTAGAAGAGGAGAACTTAGAAGAGTCATTAGCCTTAGCCTATAGAGCTCGACGCTACGTTCAAGCCTAGTGGGAGACCCCGTAACCTAAACAAAGAGCGACAGCTTAAGGAGCAGTTGTGTTTTAATTGCAATAAGCTAGGCCACATGGCCCGAGACTACAAGCAACCTAAGAAAGGGAACGGAGGACATAAGAAGTTTAGGAGACAACTTAACGCCACTTAGAAGGGACAGTTGAACGCCACGTTTGTAAACAAACCCGACTAGGGAATCACTAGCGTTAGCACCCTAGAAGGAGAGAGCTTAGGCGACGAAGATCTCAACGACTTCGACGCATCGCTCGAGAAGGAGAACGAACTCCTAAATAGGGGATTAACGGAATCCTAGAAACTCTAGCTAAAGGAGTTTGAAGAAGACGCGAAGGAGATTGCATTTAAGGAGAATCTACTAGGAGTGGTCGACGTCTACAGACAGGCCATGCTCCGAAAGGGAACTCTAAGAGCGATTCCTGTACCACTGCCCCTAACTGGCTAGCAAGGTACCTAACAAGACTAGGAAGTCGCAATCTGCGTAATGAGGTGCCGCCCTAGGTACCCGTTTAGACAAGAACCTAGGGGAGCAAATCACACCTTAAGTGAGGCCACAATGTAGTTAAAATATAAGCTTATGGAATACGACGCGTAAGACGAACAGCAGGAGAACACTTAGGGACCTAAACCCTAGGAACTGCAAGTAGACTAAGCTGCTATGGACTACGAACCTACTAATGGGGACGTAGAAAGGTTACGCGTAACCATGGAGAAATCCAAGCTTACGGGCAAGACAAAGGAGGAACAGGAATTGACAAAGTTGGATGCATTAAGGATTGATCACCCCTGGCACCTATACATATTCTAGGAACACTACAAGTACGATGACTGTGAGAGTCACCTACGGAAAAAGACCTAGTATCGACTATTTCCGAAAATTGCACCTTAGGTCTACTTTATAGATATAGACTAAATTCATGCCCTTAGACGAAGTTAGTCTAAAGGAGAACTACCTTTGAAAAAGGAACAACAACAGGTATACGAGAAATACCTGCACCTACTAGATGAAGCAGAAGGATGGGGAGGACAATCTTCCTAAGGACCGCCCATAGAGGATGATGAACATCACTATTACTCCTCGGACGAGTTAAAAAACTAGGAGTCCTTAACGGTAGGCTACTAGCGAGTGACAAAGAGGGGCCTAGTACGAAGCAGCTGTACGCCATAGGAGGCAGTATGCAGCTATATGTAGTCGCTAAGATATAACAGCGACACCTCTAAGCCATGATTAACTTAGGAGCAACGGGCAACTTTATGACAAAGAAAGTAGCAGACACTTAAGGTTTTAAGACGCAATTGAAAACCGATCCTTACCCGTTAATGGTAGTAGATGGAGAGCCCATCTCAACTAACAAAGGGATAGTGACCTACGAGACGGCCCCATTAGAAATGGTCATGCTACGCAGACACAAGGAAACGATCCAATTCGACATCGTACACATAGACAATCATACATGTATCCTTAGTATGCTGTAGCTTAAGAAACACAACCCCTAGATCGACTAGTGGAACGAGAAAGTTGTGATGAGCTAATGCGTGTGTGAACAACGAACGGACACGCTACATCGAGAGAAACCCTCTTAGGGCTAATGCGAGGTATGTGCGACCTCTATAGAGCCTAGTAACCTAGCCTAGGCACCCTTACTAACGAGTATACTAGTAGAGTATAAGGAATACGAGCAGTTATTCTAGGAAGGCCCTAAGAACGAGGCACTTCCTAAGCACCAACTATAGGACCATGTGATACCCTTAGAAGAAGGAAAGAGTCTGCCGTTCAGACCAATATACTAGATGTCAGCAGATGAGTTGAAACTGCTAAAAGAATATATCGACGATAACCTTAAGAAAGGATTTATTAGACCGTCTAAATCTCCTGCAGGAAGCCTAATGTTATGGGTTCCTAAGAAGGATGGAAGCAAACGACTATGCGTGGACTATCGAGCATTAAACAACATAACAATAAAGGATCGATACGCCTTACTGTTAATCAATGAGTTACACGATAGATTTCAAGGAGCTAAGATCTTCACTAAGCTAGATCTACGCGGCGCGTACAACCTGATCTAGATAGCTGACGGCAAGGAGTGGAAAACAGCATTCTACACCTGCTATGGCCTATTTAAATATCAAGTCATGCCCTTTAGGTTAACTAACGCCCCTGCATCTATGCAACGCTTAATGAATGACGCTTTGCATGAATATCTAGACATATTCACCATCGTTTACTTAGACGATATACTGGTATACTTAGCAAATAGGGACGAACATGCTTAGCATGTTAAGCTCGTCCTCTAGAAGCTGAAGGAATACAACCTACTATTAAAGCTAGAGAAATGTAAGTTCTATAAAAACCAAGTCGAATTCTTAGGCTACATTATTAGAACGCACGGCATTAAGATGGACTAAGCAAAGGTCACAGCAGTGTTGGAATGGCCAACACCAACTACGGTTAAGGAAGTACAAGCCTTCTTAGGCTTCGCCAACTTCTACCGTCGGTTCATTATGGGATATTCTAAGGTAGCTCAACCACTCACAGAGCTCACTAGGAAGGATCTCGTGTTCAAATGGACAGACAAAGCGGAGGCTGCCTTCTAGGAACTTAAGACGAAGTTCACAGAGGCACCTATCCTTACGACATTTAACCCTGTAAAGAAGATCGTCCTCAAAACGGACGCTTCTAACTTTGCGATTAGAGCATGTCTAAATTAGCTAGGCAAGAACGGTAAGTTCAAACCAATTGCGTACTACTCTAGGAAACTGTCACCTGTAGAGCTTAACTATGACATCCACGACAAGGAGCTACTAGCTATTGTCGTTGCCTTTGAGCAGTAGCGCGTATATCTTAAGGGATCCACCTACACTGTGTAAGTGTAGACAGATCACAAGAACCTTATATACTTTACCACGACCAAGGTTTTGAACTGCAGACAAGTCCGCTAGGCAGAAACCCTCACAGCCTACAACTTTACGATAACCTATTGCAAAGGCTCCGAGAATGTAAGAGCAGATGCTCTTAGTAGAAGGACCGACTACGTCGGCCTAAAGGAAGAAAGGCCTAGAGCAATATTAAAGAAGACAGACGTAGGAATGCAATACAACGAACTGCTAGCCACGATCGCCATCGTAGAAGACACGGAACTTAAGTAGAGACTTAAGAACGCTTACGTAACAGACGAAATAGCAAAGCGAACCCTAAACAAAGTCGAAGGAAACTTCTCCATCGACGAATAAGGGCTGATCCGATTTAAAGGATTAGTGTATGTCCTAAGTCAAATGAGACACCTGCTAGTGCAAGAACAACACTCGTTGCTAGCACACAGTCATTAGGGGGTAACATGAACCTTCGAACGAATCACAC